GTTTGAAAATAAATAGCCGTTTTAAGTATTTAGTTATGTGAAGAATGCCACTGCAAATCTGAATGGCTGTTTAAATCATATAAATATGTTTCAGAAAGTAGTGCAGCTGCTTTGTTTACGGGGTTACAGCTGCATTTCTGCTGTTCCATCAGCGCCATCTGCTGTCAGATAGGGAATGTGCATTTTCATTCAGCATGTCTCCTTCACTCCTCCCCTCCTGCGCTTCATCCATTGGGCTTGTTTACATGAGAGTGCGCATGTGTCTGTGACGCAGCATACAGCGGTGTTGTGCATTTTAACCAGTTTATGGGAAAAGTATTCTTTAAATGCATTCAAAAAATCGGAATAATTTGAAATAATTATTCACGGTATTTTGAGGTGCCCACGATAACAATATCTTGCATGTTCGTTATCGTGATATACCGTATTACCGAATACGGCACATGTCTACCACAGAACATTATTTTAAAAAAATACTTCTTTAGTTTGGTCAATTTATCTCCTTACATTTTTATTTGTCGTCATTCCAGGATTGCGGCATTTTGGGAAAGCCGAGGCGACCTCTGAAGAGGTGTTGGCCTATCTGGAGAGAACATACTGTGGGAGAATCTCAGTGGAAACCACTCAGCTCCAGAGCTTGCAGGAAAGAGAATGGTTTGCAGACCGATTTGAGGAGCTCAAGAAAGAGGCGTTTTCACCGGAGGAGAGGAGACAGCTGGCTAAACTGATGCTTGAGTCACAGGTAACACAGCCATTTGCATTTAGTCACTTTTTTTTTTTTGAATGCCTCAGGATGACTGTAACACTTTGAATAACATGTAAATCATTACACACTTGATTCCACTGGCATCAGCAAATGTACGTCTCTTGTGTTCTCTTTTAAAAAGGAATTTGACCACTTTTTAGCCACCAAGTTTGCCACTGTCAAACGATATGGAGGTGAGGGAGCAGAGAGCATGATGGGATTTTTCTACGAGCTGTTCCGTTCTGCGGTGTATAGTGGAGTGACAGACGTGGTCATGGGAATGCCTCACCGTGGACGTCTCAACCTCCTCACCGGACTACTGCAGTTCCCTCCAGAGGTTGATACTTGATACTTTTGTTTACAGACATGAAAACAAAAAGAGAATTGCTAATAAAACAGAATACAAAGTTAAAAGTCAAGTAAAACAGTTTCTGAAATATGTAAAAAAATTAAAATAAAAAAAGCAATTTTAATTCTAATCTACTAATTAATTTAATTCTAATAAAGTCACAATAATTAATCTTATGAAAATATCAATTTAAAATTAATTTAAAGGTAAGCTGGAAATACTATATGTTTGTAATGGGAATATTGTTTTAAATTTGAAAATGCAAAGTAATATTTTCACTAGTGATATCAGACTTATCTTATTTGTTATTTTGTTTTAAGTGATGACTCTTAAAGGGATAGTTCACACAAAAATTCTTTGATTGCTTATTCACCCTCATATTGTTCCAAACCTGTATGAATTTTGTTCTTCTGTGGATCATAAAAGAAAATATTTTGAAGAATGTTGTTAGCCAAACAGTTTTGGTTACCATTGACTTCCATTATATGGACAAAAAAAACCTCTGTGACATTTTCAAAATATCTACTTTTATGTTAGAAAGAAATTCATATAGGTTTGAGGGGGAGTAAATGATGACAGAATTTAAATTTTTGCGTGAACTTTTCCTTTAAAGGGGTCTTACTATGCTTTTTCACTTTTTCAACTTTAGTTAGTCTGTAATGTTGCTGTTTGAGCATAAAAAAGATCTGCAAAGTTACAAAGCTCAAAGTCCATTTCAAAAGGAGATATTTTATTTAACAGAAATCACTTTTCAAAAACTACAACGAACGACAAAACAGAAAAAAATGGAATTTGGAAAAAAATAAAACGGAATTTAGGAAAAAATAAAACGGATTTCATAGGGGCCCTATATATATATGTGTGTGTGTGTGTGTGTGTGTGTTTAAAAAAAGAAATTATTCACTATTTTTAAAGTATATTATTCACTGGATTATTGAAAAATAGATATTTCCACATTAAAAATTTCATATGAAAATCTAATAATTTTTATTTTTCAATGATTATTGAAATATAGATATTTCCGCATGAAAAAAACTGTATGAAAATCGAATAGATTTTAATATGTAGTTTAATACATATAGATATATATAACTATAAAAATGTGTGTTAAAAAAGAAACTATTCACTATTTTAAAGTATCTAATTCACTGGATGATTGAGAAAATTAATTTGTTTATACATAAAAAAAATTTGGTGTAGACCAATTTTCACAATTTCTTTGTAAATTTCATAAATAACTAGAAAGAAATGGTAAGTAACATACTGAATTTATTGTGAAATTCTGAAGTAGAAAGACTGAAATAGTATGTGTGTGTGTATATATATAATGTATATAATGTGTATGTATATATATATATATATTTTTTTTTATCCTTTGGTGAATTCAAAATGATTTATATTTTCTTCATGAGAAAATGTTTATTTTTGGCAGATTCTACCACCATACCATCCTATAAGATTTTGGTGATACCTGTGCTCATTATGATGAACAGATGAGGTTTAGGTCTTTGCCAGCACATGAGATGCGAGACGGGCTCCTGCTGCTGAATTACACATGATGATAAACAAGCAGAGAGGAGCTGATGGACGTGTTTCACCCTCTCATTATCTTCCTGTAGCCGCATGAGTGAAAAATAGTCAAGCATATATTAAAGCCATCCATAATTCCAGCCGCAGGGTGCTTTATTGCAGTTTAAGGTGCTTTCAGAGGCATTTCACGGCAGTAATGCAGCATTCAGGGTTGTGTGATTATTAAGAAACCTGCTAGACAGAAAGAAAACTGTCGCAGCTCTTCAAATCTTGCTTTTAATGTCTGTATTTACAGTATGATCAATAATCAAAGCAACATATGTTTTTCCATTGCATTAACTCATCGAAATAATGTCAAATCCATTTTTGAAGTTAAATGAGGTTCATCTCATTTCTTAAAGTCATTTTAAGTTGAAATTACTTATATAGCCAGTATGCTAAGGTCAACATAAGTCAAAATCAATCCTATTTATCAAGTTTGATTTATACAGATTCATCGCATTAAATGCAAAAAGTAGGCCTAGTTTTTCTTTTGGCTTGATTGTGATGACGTACTCTTAAATTGATGACACATAAAACCATATGTGCTGGAGAATATAGTGGAGTCACATTAAACAGTTTTTTAAAAAAGAGTTTTTGTTTTAAAGCGCAGTGCAGCAAACGGGCAGTTTTTATTGGTTTCAGAGGGACTTTGACTGCAGCTTTTATAGTTTGATGCGACAAATGTTTTAATTCATTTTCCAAGCCTCAATTCTCCAGAGTCCTGCAAAGACGTTTGTAGCTGAACAAATCTATTAGCGATTGTGTTGCTCACAGCGCTGGTTATTCTATGGACAGCTGACAGGAAACACTCAATAGCGCAATCGAGAGACTCAATCTGGGTGTGCCAATCACTTCGCGTCCACAGATAGCGGAGAATCAGCTCAGACACGTGGAAAGAGACGCTCAGATCATTGGCTGGTAATTACATTATCAACTGGGGTGGTTGGGTAAGTTTTAATTAGCTGTGCAATGAAGTGTGAGGAAAAATCAATCAATATTTGGCTTGTGTGGATGAGAGAGGCCGGCTCAGGATACAGACTGTATTGATATGTTGGGCTGTTTAGATATATTGTCTAGCTCAATTGTTTTTCCGAAGACAGCAATGGGATTACATTGAGAATTTGCTGAAGTCTCGTGGTTTGCAGATTAATTTTTTTGTGAAAAGAATTCCAGCAGTATTGACTAAAACTATTAAAAATAAAATAAAATAAAATTGAAATCAAATAATGGAATAGAAATATTGAATGAAAAACTTAAACTTAAAAAAATAGAAATGAAATATTGAAATAAAATATAAATATTAAATAAAAAACCTAAACTTAAAATACTTGAACTTAAAAAATATGTAAAAATATATAAATATTAAAATAAAACACTGAAATAAAATAAAATATACATATTAAATGAAAAGCCTAAACTTAATAAAATAACATGAAATATCATTGAAATAAAATACTAAACTTAAAAACCTACATTGAAATAAAATAAATAAAAACTCAAAGGGAAAAACATAAACTAAAAAATTAAATAATAAACAAAAAATTTATTAATGTTTAAACAAAATACTGAAATAAAGTAAAATATAGCCTAAATATATAAAAAAAATTTTTTTTTTTTTTTAGATTTTACTTTTAGTTATTACATCAAATTAAATTATGAAAAAATGCTTTTTTGGAAATTTGCTGAAGTAAAATAAGTTATGTTTTTATTATTATTTTACATAACATCTAACAACATTTTTGCAATTCTGTTTGTTGCTGTTTAGGTAAAATGGTAGGATGTGCAATAATCCATGTGAATGGCGATGATGCTGAGGAGGTCCTCAGGGCGACCCGGCTGGCTGTGGAGTACCAGAGACGTTTCAGAAAAGATGTTATTGTAGACCTGCTTTGTTACCGCCAGTGGGGGCACAATGAGCTGGACGAACCCTTTTTCACAAACCCTGCAATGTATAAAATTATCCGGTGGGTACTTCTACCAGTCACTGTTTTGGCAATTCTGATTTTAACAGATGATACCGCCTTTATTTTGTAACATATTTCTAAAAAGTTACGTTTAATTTTCCTTATTTCGTGGCCATTCTAGGTCGAGAAAAAGTATCCCAGATTCATATGCCAACCAACTCATCGCTGAGGGTCTGATGACAGAGGAAGAGCGTGGACAGATCAAGACCACCCTCTACGCTGTGCTCAACGACCGGCTGAATAACATGACCCTCTACAGCCCTCCGTCCACCAACCTCCAGGGGCGCTGGGGAGACCTGGTGGAGCCCCAGAACAGAGTCTCATTCTGGGACACAGGCGTAGCGCTGCCCCTGCTGCAGTTCGTAGGTGCCAGATCAGTAGACATACCTGATGAGATTCAACTGCACAGTCACCTGAGAAAGACACACGTGCAGGTAATGAAAGAACACCTCGCTTGATCTTTGCCCTCATTTTGTGCTGTTTTATGGCATTTTATAAAAAAGCAACATGACAGTTGAGAGGTTTAACTTTTATACATATATTATGTAACAGTAGGAACATAAACTATAACGATCTATACAGCCATAAGATGACAACATTGAAAATGTCTATGTGAATGGCTCTTTAGAATTAGGTTTCTCAGTAAAGAATTGATGCAGTCTAGTTGATTTGAACATGCCTAAATAAATGTCTTGGTTTGTCACAGGCACGCCTGCAGAAACTGGAAGAGGGCACAAAATTAGACTGGTCCACAGCGGAAGCCCTGGCGTTTGGCACATTGCTGTGCCAGGGTAAAGTATTCATCTCTCCTTCCTTGCACTGTTAAAACGTTCAAGAATAATTTGTGCTTTTAATTTGTATCTTTTATACAGATTTTTTTCCTAATCTTTGTTGCCTTTAGGTTGTGCACTGGTGTTTTTGCACAATTTTTGGGAGTTTTGGAGATTTTTTGACTAATTTAGATTCTAAAAAAAATTAGAATTTATTTTCCTGATATAACAGAATTTATTGAACTGTACTCTAATAGAAATGATTCTTTGTCCGCTTAATACAAACAAAATATTTTCCAGATAATATTTTATTAATTTCCTTTTGCTTCAGTGCAATGATAATATAAAAGCCAATCATTTTGCAAATGTACTGGTATACTATTGCTACTTTTTAAAATAAGTTGTTATGCACTAATATTAAAATTTTGTGGTTGGTAAGATTTTTTTAATGTTTAAAAAATGTTCTAATGCTCACCAAAAAAATGTATTTATCAAAAAATACAGTAAAAACAATAATATTCTGAAACATTATTGCAATTTCTATTATAATATACAGTATTTTATAATGTCATTTATTCCTGTGACGCAAAGCTGAATTTTCAGCATCATTACTCCAGTCTTCAGTGTCACATGATCTTTCAGAAATCATTTTAATATGCTGATGAAACATTTCTTATTATAAAAATACAGTAAAAACAATAATATTCTGAAACATTATTGCAATTTCTATTATAATATACAGTATTTTATAATGTCATTTATTCCTGTGACGCAAAGCTGAATTTTCAGCATCATTACTCCAGTCTTCAGTGTCACATGATCCTTCAGAAATCATTTTAATATGCTGATGAAACATTTCTTATTATCATCATTGTTGAAAATGGTTGTTTAGTGGAAACTGTGATACATTTTCTCAGGATTCTTTGATGAATAGAAAGTTCAAAAGAACAGTATTTGTATGAAAAAGTAATCTTTTGTAATAATGTAAAAGTCACTTTGATCAATTTAATGTATTCTTGCTGAATAATTTCTTTAAAAAAAAAAACTGACCCTTACTGACCCTAAAGTTTTGATGTCAGTGTACATGAAAATATATTAGCATCAAAAAGTTAAAAAACCCATTTTTATACATATTTGATGCAGGATTTGATATCCGTATCAGTGGTCAGGATGTTGGCCGGGGTACGTTCAGTCAGCGTCACGCTATGGTTGTGTGTCAGGAAACCAACGACATGTACATCCCCCTCAATCACATCAGCCCTGAACAGAAAGGCCACTTGGAGGTGAGCCAAACCAGGCACAGGCACCGTTTACTGCAAACATGAGTTATGCATTGCTGCAATCATTTATCACTTATTTTTTATTATGTGTTTTTAATAGTACATTTTAGTTTAGGCTGTTTGGTTGATGGCATGTAACGTATTAGCTTTGTAACTCAATACTCCAGCTGCTCTTCATTCCTGAGCTGGGTGGTTTGCTGTTTTAATTCTTTATGCCACCACATTTTACAGCATATAATAATTATGTTGTGTGTGTGTCCTTGCAGGTGTGCAACAGTGCTCTTTCAGAGGAAGCTGTTCTGGGGTTTGAGTATGGAATGAGCATTGCTCTGCCTAGACTGCTGCCCATCTGGGAGGCTCAGTTTGGAGATTTCTTCAATGGCGCCCAGATAATATTTGACACTTTCCTCTCTGGAGGTAAAAAAAAAAATGCAGTCAAATGCTAAGGATCACAGTATAATTTGCAGTGTTTTACACAAGCTTTGGTCAAATAGTTAAATACACCTTTAGAGCCTGAATCCTGTTTTGTGGCAAAACTTCTTAAGGTGAGGCGAAATGGCTCCTGCAGAGTGGATTGGTCATCTTACTGCCACACGGATACGATGGAGCCGGACCAGAGCATTCATCCTGCCGAATCGAGCGTTTCTTACAGGTGAGTTAATGCATGCTCTCTTACAGGAAAAGTACAGAGCGAATCTTTCAGCATAACTGATAATCTTCGTAATTGCACTTTCTTCCTCCTGCAGCTCTGTGACAGTAAAGAGGAAGGTGTGGACGGTGACACGGTGAACATGGGAGTGGTCAATCCTACCCTACCAGCTCAGTACTACCACCTTTTGCGGAGACAAATGATTAGAAACTTCAGGAAGCCGCTAATCGTGGCCTCTCCTAAGACTCTGCTGCGCTTTTCTGTACGTTAGAGATATTCATATTTTTAAATATGAATTCCTTACTCAAAAAAAGAACGTTTTGTTTTGTTGTTTTATTATTCCTCTCTATTTGGCACTAGGGGGCAGTGTCAAGCTTGACTGGTATGGGACCAGGAACTTCCTTTAAGCCTGTCATTGGTGATACTTCTGTAAACCCTGCAAGGTATCTTCATTCAGTCACTTTTTTTAAACACATTTTTGAAGCAAGTCTCATGTTCACCATTTATTTGATGAAAAATACAGTAAAAAATATTATTTATTCCTATGGTAGCAAAGCTGAATTTCCAGCATCATTACTCCAGTCTTCAGTGTCACATGTTCCTTCAGAAATCATTCTAATATGCTGATTTGCTGCTCAAGAAACATTTCTTATTATTATCAATGTTGAAAACAGTTGTTCTGCTAATATAACAGCATTTATTTGAAATGGAAGTATTTTGTAATAATGTAAACGTCTTTACTGTCACTTTTAATTATTTTAATGCATCCTTGCTGAATAAAAGTATTATTTCCCTTCCTTCCTTGCTCTTGTCTTGCAGTGTGCAGCGGATTCTGTTTTGCTCAGGTAAACATTACTACGCCCTGCTGAAACATAGAGAGATGTTACCAGAGGCAGAAAAAAGCACAGCGCTGATCAGAGTGGAGGAACTGTGTCCTTTCCCCACAGAAGCCCTACAACAGGAACTAAATAAATACACAAACGCCAAAGGTGAGTTGCTCATATACACATCTTTTATTCATGGAACACTCAATAGGATTGTCTTAATTAGCATTTGTTTCTTTGGTATTGTGGCAGTTGCTCAGTGAGTGGCCTTCGTAAGGAATTGCAAACGTGCAGAGGTGTTGATAAAAAGCCTTTCGGCAATCCCAGAATGCAATTCACGGAGCTCCATGAAAAAATTTTTTTTTTTGACATTATGCTTGCTTTTCCTTATAGGATGAAATACATGAGACATATTATATCTGATTCAAAATATTATATTAGTAAAATATTTGTTTATTATAAACGCAATACCACAGTTTGGGGTCAGTAAGATAAAAAAAAAAAGCTGAAAGAAATCTCTTTACAGTTAAAAACAAAACAAATATATTTTAAATAGAATTTAAAACAACTTTTCTTTTTGTATATCATTTAATATATTTTATATATGAATTTTCAGCATCATTACTCCAGTCTTCAGTGTCACATGATCCTTCAGAAATCATTCTAATATACTAATTTTCTGCTCAAGAAACATTTTTTATTATCAATGTTAATCTTAATATTTTTGTGCAGAATGTTCAAAAGGACAGAAGTAATTTTAAATAGAAATCTCTCTTTTGAAAAATGTCATCACTTATGATCAATTTAATGCATCCTTGCTGAATAAAAATAGTCATTTAAAAAAAATTCTGACCCTAAACTTTTGAACAGTAGTGTATATTTAATGCTTATTTTACAGTATTGTTGTTGTTAGTTGTGAACATGCTAACAGCAAACTCTATTGTAAGCCGACACATTTAAACCGAAAACATGGCCATTTTCTTATTATATTATATTATATTATTTCATATCAAGTAGTATAATTTCTGTTTTTGTTACAGATTTTATCTGGAGTCAAGAGGAGCCACAGAACATGGGCTGCTGGTCATTTGTATCACCGAGATTCGAAAAACAGTTAGCCTGCAAGGTCAGGTTCACCACTTCACGCTAATAGAGGGCCTCTTAGCTAATGCCTTGATCGCCTCTTAGCTTAAATTTTTGACATTCATTAAATTAGCACTGATTTATTGCAAAATGATTGACGTTGATCTCGTGATTTGTTCCCTCAGTTGAGATTAGTCAGCAGACCAGCATTACCCGCTCCTGCCGTGGGCATCGGTACCCTCCACCATCAGCAGCATGAAGCCATCCTGACCGCGTCTTTCTCCTGAGACCACACAACCATAAACTTCAAGAAATGATCGTCTTATTGTAGCAAACAAGCTATGACTGGTACACTGACAACAAACTCCAAGTACTGTTTGTAGCCTGAGCACTAAACAGAGGCATATTGCAGGTTTGGCTGTTTAATGCATCCCCTTATTTAGGTATAAGGGAACATTTCTTACTGACATCTAAATCAGCGTATCAATACACCTTTTGAAAGTATCATAATTGATATTTCAGAAGTAATATTTGGCACAGGAAAATTTTTATTATATATGAGAAATGTAGAAAACGAACAAAGCATACATACATATTGTATGTAATTTTTCAAAGCACTTTTAAATTTGATAAATGTGCCGAAGGCAGAAGACTATGGAGGCAAAGAAAAGAATATAAATAATATTTGTTGCAGCATTGAGATGAATATTGTGATGTGAACTAGTAGTGGCTCACGATCAAAATGTTGGTGCATTAAATGTGTGCATGTGAATTAAGGGCTGCTTGGAAATTGACTCTTTCCAGATGAATGTAGAATCAGAAATAACAAAAATGAATCGATTGTAACTTGTTTACGAAGAGAAAGTATTGATCGAAAATTAATATTTTTGTTTTGATATCTAGTTTATGTTGCTGTGAATCTTTACCTATGACAATCCCATCCAAATCCAATTTATAATGTTGAATTATAGGCATTGTTTTCAGTAGTCATAATGTGGACGAAACTGAATTTGTACTTGAATACTTATTCTGGAGATAAAAAATAAAATAAAAATGAAAAAAAAAAAAGTTTATCATTTACCATTAACATACTCCTCATGCAAAGCAAATATATTTATAATTAAACCTGTTTGTCTGTCATTTAGTATATTCATTCCTAATCAGTCAGTTCAAATGAATTACAGTTAATGTCTTGTGAAAAATGGCAAAACCACTACAGGCAAAACCATTGCTTTTTTTCATGCACTGGTCAATTATGAGATTTGGAGCCATTTTGCTTCCATAACATGTCTTCTTTCAGAAGAAAGAAGAAAACATCCCAAATATCCATTTAAGCGTTAATTTTGTATATTATACTTTATCTATTTGTTTTTAAAGTTTTTTTTTCCCCTCTAAAAATTTGAGATTTTTTTCCGCCAGAAATTTCCACTTAATTAGGTAAATTAGAGCAAAATATTTATTTAAACCGAACGTTTATCCAAGTGTCTTCCTCACGCCACTGAGTTTGTATGGCTAATGATGAATGCAGTATTTATTGCTCTTGATGCAGCAGGTGTACCGTTCCTGACGCAGTCTGCTATCATCCCTCACACGCGCTCACCGGTTATTTACCGGGCAACAACAGCTGCATCATTTTGTCAACCGGTGCGGTACAGCAGCCCCAACGTTACTTTTCAATACCTCGAGAACACGGAATCACGCATTTGCGCGCGCGTTACACACTCTGTTGGTTCAGCTCGAGCGCGTCTCGTCGCGGTGAGTCAGTGAGGCGGGATCCGCGGTGAGTCCGCGCGATTGGATTTAGTCGCTGTGCGTCGGTCAGTCCTCGTTCTGTTGGCGGTACCGTAACCGGGCGGCATGAAACGGAATGCGGGCAACGGTTAAAGCTGGTCATACAGTCACAGAGAGCGACACTCGCGTTCGCGGCTTTATCCGTTTGTGTTTCCTGTAAGGCTGGAAAGATTGACGCGTTAAGAAGGTTATTCGGAGGCAGCGCTCACCCTGGAAGCGCCATGGCCAGGGGAAGCGAGGAATCTGTGAATGGATCGTGGAAAAAGCAAGTGGATGACATCAGGAAGATATTTGAGTTTAAGGAAATCCTCGGGACGTGAGTATGAATGATGCTTTGACATTGTGAATGCCTGACTGCTTTTGTAATCTGCATATCAGAGAGGCAATGTCCTCCAGTTTGGGTACTCAAAGTTTGACCTGTGAGAATATTCCAGTGGTATAGACAGGTAAAATCATCACAGCAAACACATTTGCTGGGTTATAAATGGCTAAAAAAAAGTGAATGCTTGTTTTTCTGGCTCATTGCCTCACGAAAAGGTTGCTGTTTTTGTCCCTCATGAATAAATGTGTAGGCTAAACAGCAGGACACTCATTTGCATATGTATATTTATTTATATATGAAAATAAAAGCTAGTATATTGTATTTACTCTGCTTATGTATACTTATATTATTTATTCAGACTTTAATAGACAGGTTGAATTGAAAAAAGACTTAAATTTGCATCCCCAGGTAATCTGTCAACCCTGTATAGCATCATAACTAATTACTCAAATTAAATGGAAATATTATATATGTTTGTGTACAGTAGGCCTATATATATAATGAAATCATAATTAAAAAACAATCCCCTATTTTTAGCACTATCTTGCATTTTGTAGGGTTTGTCAGTCAACCCTGTTACCATGATTTATACAGTAAACAATGATTATTGACAACTGGATGTTTGTAGAAATATCAGCATTCTTCTTCTAATACACACTAATAGTTTCATAACCTTGAGCGCAAGACTAGTAATGGCTACGTGAACTGTAAAACTGTCAACCCTGTCACTAAGGCGAAAGTGTATCCCAACATTCCCTTCAATGTGGTCTGTATAATTGCATTGTATGTATGCATTTTAAATCCATACTTAACCTACTTGGCATAGCGGATTTTAATGTGCAGGCCTTCTTCTGTCACTGTTAATATCCCACATCCGGCAGCATGGCCTTATGTTGTCATGAACAACTGTTCCTCTTCTGTTGTAGCAGCATTAAAGTACTGGTTCACTGGGTTTTCCCTAGTATTTACCTGAAATAGACCAAGAGATGTCTATTTATATGGTGTGCAGGGACCAAAAACAGGACGGGTATTTTTATGTCCCAGAGAGAGAGAAAATATTTTTCATCTTTCACCATTTGTGTGGGTTTTATTTATTTATTTACTTGTCCTGTAAACTTTGGTAGTCTCTTAACTGACACGTTCAGCACCATTTAAAATGAACTACATTTAATTTTCGAAACCGTTAATAAAGATTCAATTGCAGTGCATCTGTGCTGTATCATAGTCTTTTGCTATTCTTTTCTCTTTTTTTTAAATTAAATTAAATTTATATTTTATTTGACATTTTATGTCATTTCATTTTATTAACATTTAATTTTATTTTATTTATCAATTCACTGTCTTTTCCCAAACATCTGAAGATAACGTGTTCCTGGGTGTCCATATTTCTGAGGATCTTTCCTGGACCCTCAACACCTCCATTCTGATCAAAAAGGTGCACTACAGGGGCGATTCTAGGATTTTCATTTTAGTGAGGGTATAATAATAATAATAATAGTCTAATAATAATATATATATATATATGTGTGTGTGTGTGTGTGTGTTTTATTTTATATAAATAAAAAATATATAAATAAAATAAATGTTTGATTAATATACTAAATTTATTGCGGTATTCCACTGTATTGCATAGTATCGTTTTATAAAGTATGCGTTCATATGTGCTACATTTTCGCTGGAGGAAACAGCTGTGGTGTGATGAGGGGTGAACGCAGTGAAAACTTAGGCTACAGTAGATGGGGAACCGATTATTTCTCCCCCATGATATTTTGTAAACTGGATTTATGACAAAGAACTGCACAGATGCAGATATTACAACAATCTATTGATAAACACACACCTTGTCCTCTGTTTCTCGCTCTACGCCACTGCGGTCTGCGGATTGAAAAAGAACGCGCTGAAAGACGGGGAGGAGCCGATCGAAGTCTGCTGCCGTTTTCATATGAAATTTAAAGGGGACTTAGGTGATCACAAATTCGTGTAAAGTTTATGGAGCTAATCGCAAAATTTTAGGGGACTGAGTAGCTATAGCCCCCCTAAAAATGGCCTGGAGACGTCCATGGTGCACTACTTAGGAAGCTAAGGAAAGCTCACCTGTCCCCCCACATCCTGCTAAACGTTTATCAATGCACAATAAAGCCTCTTAAACTGCATCACAGTGTGGTTTGGCAACTGCAATGTCTCGGACCAGAAGACCCTCCAACAGGTTGTTAAAACGGCCCAACACATCACTGGTGTTCAGTTACTCTCCATCAAAGACACTTACCTCAAACTCTGCCTGTGAAGGGTGAGAAGCATTATCAAAGATATCTCTCACCCCAGCCATGGATTGTTTACTGTTCTTCATCTTCGCTGTCACACCAGCAGACTCAGGAACAGTTTCTTCCCCTCAGCCGTCAGCCTACTAAACTCTAAATTTAAAAACTGAACATTATATATATATATATATATAAATACAGCATCATCTGGTATTATTTTTGTAGATTCCACCTCATGATGCCCATTGCACTGATATGGTCACTGATATTGACCATATGTTTATATATTTACAAATACCTCATTCTGAATAATGTATCGTCTGTGTTTTCTGGTTAGATGCTAACTGCATTACATTGGCCTTGTACTTGTACTCTGCACAATGAGAATAAAGTTGAATCTAATCTAATCTAGTGATTATTGTCAGGTATAAATGATTCATCAAATTTTATTGAAATATATATTTATATATAAAGATAGATTTATATTTTTGATGTTTGATTATGTTCGATCTGTTATTTTTAATTTCATTTCATGTTTAATGCAGTGCCTATTCCAAATATCTTAAGCTAATGTGTGTATATGGCATATGAGGTTGGTCAGGTCAGATATAAATGATAGCTCAAATGCTTATTTATTTTAATTGTATGTTTTATTTTTATATTTATATTAATTAATTTTTTTTTGGTTTGGTGTGTCTTCCAACCATCTGAAGATAGTGTTATTTTTTTTTTTTTTTTTTTTTTTTTAATTTA